CCCCTTCTCTCTCTCTCTGCCAATTCCTTGCCTCGGGAGAGAGCAGAGGTGTGGAGTGCTCCCCTCCCAAGTCTGGAGGCCTCCAGGGTAGACCACGGCCAGGATGCCTGGTCTCTGACCTCATTATGGTTCCAGTTCTCACGCTGAACTCTAGAATTTTTAAAGAACTCTGTAATTTGATCACAGGCTAGAATGTTCCACAGGATCCTGGGATTCTGGCATCCAATATGGCTTTCTAGAATGTTGTGATTAAAGGAGGCAGCCAGGTGTAATACAGTCATGGCAGCCCTCAGCCTGGAGACAGTCTGTGAAGCCCCACTCCTGGGGGAGGAGGGGGGCTGTGTCCATCAGCTCCTGCCAGAGGCCTTGTTGTGACATGGTCCTCAGCCAGACCTGAGGCCCTGCGGCCTCCCACCACGTGTCCCAGGAACAGATGCCCCCCAACTCCATGCAGTCCCTCCTGTTTCCCTTCTGCTTTGTTAATTACATGTCACACTCCCAGAGGGCTCCCCGACTAATAGGAAGCATTTCTGTAACCAGCCTGCCACGCACTGATTCAGAACTGGAAATGGCATTCCGCAACCTATGGCTTCCATCAGCTAGCCCAGGAAGTCCTGGAAATCGGTATTCCAATTAGAGTCGGGCCTCTCGATTGTATCATTTGCCAATTAAGTAACTGAGACGTAAATCTGGGAACAGAGCCACAAATCTGCCTTTGCGATGCCGGCTGATCTCAAGGCCATCAGTGATCTAGGGGAGGGGGGAGAAAGCATTCCGGGTCACGTCCACCCCCGTTAAGCGTGCAGCTGGCAAAGCATCACTCCTGTCTGCCCCGCACAAGCCCCGCTCTGGTCGCCCTGTGCTGGCAGAGCTTGCTTGTTGAGCCTGGTGTCTTCTCCAAATGAGCTTTGTCTGTGGAAGTGGCCCTCAATGGGAAGGAGTCAAAGAGGAGGCCCCTTCCAGAATCTAGGATAACAAGGGCATTGCACTTTGGAGAGTCGATTTAGGGTTCCTCATCAGAGAGCAATGCAGCATCATTAAAATAAAAACTGTGCCTTTTAAAAATGCAAATGTACAGCAAATCCCTAAACTTGAACCATTTCCTAGTGCCTTGCTAGACAAACATAAAGGGGTAGGGATTGGGGGAAATGTTTTTGGTGGTATGTGCAGTTCCTATCGGATGAGTGTGTGTTTCTTAATGTTGAATTTCAAGCAGGAGACGTTAGGCCTAGAGCAGGATCTGAATGGAGATGCCCCCCAAGGGCAGAGGCCAGAGTTGCTCCAGTTAGTGTAACACTCCAGATTAAAAGAGCAGCTGGGCAGCTCGTGTAGTCTGTGGCCTAGAGGGGCCTCCGCAGCCCCTGGGAGAGGCCCTGTTTGGAGGCCGTGTCTGCTTCCCCCGCCCCCCCCAGCCCCCAGATAGAGTGCAGAGCACTGGCTGGATGTCCAAATGGTCCCACTCCAAGTGGATGAGTGTTCTCGGCACGACCAGGACTCATGTGGAGAGCAGGAGGAGCCCCAAGCAGTCCTCAGCCTTCCTCTCGCCCAGCCTTTAGGCCTCCTTTTGGGTCTGGTTTCGTACCCTCAACCAGGGATGGGCAGGTCCTCTGAGCATCCTGGCCGCTGTCATTGCTGAGCCCACATCTGTAGGTGCTGGTGGTTGACAACGTGTGTAATAGGGATGGCAGGAGACAAGTTCGTTGCCTGTTGACCAGCTGGCTGATGGCAGATCCTGGCCACTCGTCGTTTTGGCCTCATTTATTCTAGCCTGGCTGTCTTAAGGATTTCAGATTCCTGCTCACACCCCCAGCTGATGCCCAAATAGAACAGCCAGAAGCCTGTGCAGAGGCTGTCAGCCAGGTAAGGGGTGAGCATGTGGGCCCCTTTTTTTCTAAAGGCTTTATTTCGAGCACGAGATCACAAAACAAATGAGTGGCTAAAAGGTATCATGACCATGTGGCCCACCAGCAGCCTTTCCGAAGGGGACTCCAGAAACATTGCAAAGTACAAGCGCGTCTCGCTGTAAGTACAGGCCTTTGGAGGTGGCCAAGTGTGCCAGCACACGTGGGAAAAGCCATTGCCTCCCGTGGGAGCTTGTTTCAGCTTTAAAAACAGCCCAGAAACTGTTGATTCTCCTTTTTAGGAAGAAATAGCTCAGAGGCAGAAGGGGTGTTCCCCCGCCCCCCCCAGCCCCCAGATAGAGTGCAGAGCACTGGCTGGATGTCCAAATGGTCCCACTCCAAGTGGATGAGTGTTCTCGGCACGACCAGGACTCATGTGGAGAGCAGGAGGAGCCCCAAGCAGTCCTCAGCCTTCCTCTCGCCCAGCCTTTAGGCCTCCTTTTGGGTCTGGTTTCGTACCCTCAACCAGGGATGGGCAGGTCCTCTGAGCATCCTGGCCGCTGTCATTGCTGAGCCCACATCTGTAGGTGCTGGTGGTTGACAACGTGTGTAATAGGGATGGCAGGAGACAAGTTCGTTGCCTGTTGACCAGCTGGCTGATGGCAGATCCTGGCCACTCGTCGTTTTGGCCTCATTTATTCTAGCCTGGCTGTCTTAAGGATTTCAGATTCCTGCTCACACCCCCAGCTGATGCCCAAATAGAACAGCCAGAAGCCTGTGCAGAGGCTGTCAGCCAGGTAAGGGGTGAGCATGTGGGCCCCTTTTTTTCTAAAGGCTTTATTTCGAGCACGAGATCACAAAACAAATGAGTGGCTAAAAGGTATCATGACCATGTGGCCCACCAGCAGCCTTTCCGAAGGGGACTCCAGAAACATTGCAAAGTACAAGCGCGTCTCGCTGTAAGTACAGGCCTTTGGAGGTGGCCAAGTGTGCCAGCACACGTGGGAAAAGCCATTGCCTCCCGTGGGAGCTTGTTTCAGCTTTAAAAACAGCCCAGAAACTGTTGATTCTCCTTTTTAGGAAGAAATAGCTCAGAGGCAGAAGGGGTGCCTGTGGAGGGGAGTAACCTTAGGTCCAGGGGAGAAAGCAGTTGCTTCAGATGGAGCCTATGGATTCCCAAAGCCCACATTAGAGTCATTTTTCTAACCTCCTACCTGTGGAATTTCTTTTTGTGCATCTCCATTTGTCTAGTCTCTGGAGCATCAAACAAGCTGCAAAGCACTTTACAGCTGTCAGTGGGAAATCCGGAATCCTTGCTTCCACAGCCCCTGGTTTGTAGATTGGTGATCTCGTATAATTCCTAATAGACAATGCATTTTCAGCGTTTTCTGGAAATTTCTAAGTGTGGGAGAGGGGCAAGGAATGTGGTTCTGTTTGGGGACTCCTCTGCTTTCAGCTGATGCTCTTTGTGAAAAATCCAAGTAATATTTTAGTTCAACTTGATCGTGAGCCACCTCTGGGCTGGGTCTTGGGCCTACATTCCAAGTGACAAGGTCCCATGCCCGACAATAGGGTCAGGCTCCTCTTCTGTTTGGGCTGGAAAACTGGGGTCCCAAGGGGGTTAGGGACTAGCTGAGCAAAGTCAGACTGGGATTCCCTAGAGAAAGCTCGAGACCACCAGCCTCTCTTCTCCTGCCTGGACAAGCGCGCCTCTATGAGGAACTGACTTCATGTACAGTTGTGATTGTGACTGAGTAAAACTCCAGACTTTCTCTAACGTGGTCTCCAGTTCATTCCTGGTCATGCGCCATTCCCCACTCCACCTTTCCCCCCTGCTCAGTACCCAGGCCCTCTGCCAGGCACTGAGCAAACTCCCAACGAGGGAGGCAGACCTAAAGCAACTGACCAAGATGATTTCAGATGTGAATAGGGCGAGGAAGGATAGAAAACCAGATATTTTAGAGGCTGGAGTGCCATACTTATTCAGAAACAGATTTAGAGAACTTGGCAATTTGCTCAGCATTGGGAAGGATGGTCAGGCGGTGCCTGTCCGCAAGAGCTGGGAAATATGAGGGAGTGTGAGCCAAGAGGCGATGCGGGGAGAGAGTTCTAGGCTTAAGTGAAGAGCCAGTGCAAAGGCCCTGAGGCAGGAAGGCGTTCCCATGTTGGAGGCACAGAGGAGGTGAGCTCACAGAGGTGAGCAGGGTGGCCCACGACAGACTACACCCAGGAGCGGAGGAGTTCAGGAGGACAGTGACATACGCTTAGCTCATTTCGGATGCTCACCCATCAGCCAGAAGTCTACTTACCAAAACATTGTGATACTTTGAGTATTAGGTTTGTGTGATACTATGTGGTGGGAAGAGCACTGGCTGGCCCGGCTCTGCAGCAGGCTCACTGAGATCTGGTGTGCGTCCTGCCCACGTTCTGGCCTCAGGGTTCCTCAGTAAAAATGAGACATTTGGGGATCCAGCTCCACCGATGTTCCTGTGGTTGTCTTGATGTGGAGCTGCAGGGGACCATGAGCCGTGCTTCCCGCTGTGCTGTCATGCAGGGCCCACCAGAGGGCGCCGTGCACCACCGCTTGGCGAAGGCTGACACCAGAAAGGGGGAGTGTTCACTGGCCAAAGGCAGGTTTAAGCCCTGAGGGTGGATATTTCCTTTTGTAGCTTCCATTATCTTTTGAAAAGTCTTTTACCATCCATGACATGATAATTTTCCTCTAAAAATTATAAAGGGTTTCTTTAAAAACCTTAAACTCTTACTAGGAATAAAAAAGAGGAGAGGGAAGGCATTCCAGGTGTTGGGGGCAGCAGGTGTGAAGATGCTGTGGAGGGAGATGACAGATATGCAGGTCAGTGGGGCCGGAGCAGAGTGGGAAAGAAAGTGGAGACAAGAGGCAGGAGGAGCCATGTTAAGGAGTCTGGTCTTTATTTTAAAAGCAGAGGAACCACGAGAGGGTTTTAAACTGGGCAGAGTGAGGGCATCAGATGTGCCCTTGGCTGATGCTGGAGCCAGGAGGGACT